TATGTGCCACCTTTTTCACTGGGAATGCTAGGACTTAGAGAAAATCCATATGTACTTATATTTGTAGGTTTGTTGGGGGTTTTTTGTTTTTGTTTTGTGTGTGTGTGTGTGTGTGTGTGTGTGTGTGTGTCTGGCTCAGTCTGCTGGGGAGGGGCAGGGCTGGCATGGCATGTGGTGCCAGGGATCAAACTGTGGTCCCTGCGCTTGCCTAAGCTTGCCTAAGCTTGCCTAAGCAGGCACTTTAGACTGCTGAGCTATCTCGCCGGCCCCTGTGTGTTCATTTTTTAACAAATAAACTATCTCTGAAGTAGCTATTTCCTGTAAAGCTATTGCATCTATCATCCTTGGGCAGAACCCACTAACCAAAATTTCCAAATGACAGAGATCACAGAAAGCCACATGTAGAAAAGTAGTGGATGAAAAAGAAATGTGTGAACAAATAAAACAGTGGCACCAAAACATAATAGCTATCCATTAGTGTGTTTCAAGAGTCTGCACAGAGCCCCATAAATATTTAATATTTAACTGAGAAGGCCTGTGTTCGTGCATGTATATGTGTGTGCATGCATGCATGTGCGTATGTGTGTGTGTGTGTGTGTGCGCACGCGCGCGTGTGTGTGTGTGTGTGTGTGTGTAGGGTGCAACTATGAACATATCTTGGACAATTATGTGTGAAGTCCTCATCGTGACCATTTTCACTGAACAACTTTACTGTGAGTGGAGGGTTTTCTGAAGCTGAAATTGCTATTTGCACAATGTGGGGCATTGAAGCAATTCAAGGCTTTCTTTCCACTTCACTGGAAATGAAGATTCACTATATTAACGTCGCTCGACACTCAGGTGGTGTGAAATTATGCCCCTCAATTACAAATTCTTCAGCCTCCTCTCTCCTTGCTTCTCAATTTTCAAGTCTCATTTCAAATACTCCACAAAATATTTGGTCTCACTTGGCATAAAAGAAGCAAACCTCTGTTCCTTCTTTTCCCCGCCTTTACATGGAGATAATAACACTTGCCTCCCTCATAAAGAGATTGTGAGGCATAATATTTTGTAAAGTACTTTAGAAACCTTAGCTGTGAGGGCTAATGGAAATAAAAACTATTGTTATCTATGCTTCCAGTTCCTCTCAAGTTGCCTGCTTCCTTTGTTTATTTATTTATTTTGTTTGGATGTTAAGAAGAAATATTGTTTTATTCTTTTTTTTCCTCCTTAGAAATTGGAACTGTCTAACAAAAATTTGCCTTAGGTTGTACAAAAGTTCCCAACACTAGATAAGTTCAACAAGGAAGCTGAGCTTCTAGGACATTTTTCAAAAATGTCATTAGAAAAGCTTGCAAAGAAGTATGATAGTAGTTCCAGAGTTTAAAATATCAGAAGATACAAGGTATCATACATCCCCCATGGATGTTGAAGCTCGGCTTCATTTCCTTCACCTTCTTTCCACTTTTCCCTCTTGCCACCTCTTCTGGCTCCCCTACCAGAAGGTCACAGGTTGCTTCAAGCACGGACTCCAGAGTGGTCTGTCTTGTAGCTAAGGCGCCTAGATAAGATCTCATCCCAACCAAGGGGCTTCCCAGATATGCTTAGGTCATGGCCTGAGGTTTCATGAGGCATCACAGGCACCACTCTACTGCTTCACACTTGTGCAGCCTTCCCCAGCTCCGCGTTGCACTAAGTGCACATATTCTCTCTCTCACTGAGAGAGGTGATTGTTTATTCAGTTAGTTTGAGATTTGCTCATAGTAAGTATTCAATAAGTGACTCAAGGAAATTCAGTGAAACAAAATTTTATGCTTCCTAAGGCAGCTGAACTGCATGCAGGAAATCTTGGCAGTCAAATTAGACCGGGCCCAGAAGATGCTGCTGCCCTTTATTTCCAAACCGAGAGCAATCCGTGTGGAGGCTGACCTGACAGGGCCTGAGGTGTGAATCTACATCATTTTTACATACCTGCAAGCAGGACCCTGGGGCCTCTCCCTGGAACAGTGGCTAGCGAGTACGAGTACACCGCAAGACCTGAGTGACCTGAGAACCTGAGCCTCTTCTCCACAAGCCACATCATCACCTGAAAACGAGCCCAAGCCCAAGATGAAGGCACACACTTCCAGTGAGCAGACGGTATGGAATGGAAGGCTGATGCAGAGGGCACAAGTGAGCTTGCAAGGCTTTGAAGCTAGGCAGAGCCAAACCCAAAGCCTGTCCTGGCAGTTTGCTCGCTGTTACATCAAGTGGCTTACTTATCCTCTGAGCTGCTGTGTCCTTGTTATTAAAAAGATAATACTATACATGGGAAGTTGTGATCCAGTGTAGAAACTCAATGAAAGGCATTATCATTATTAATAGAAAATATAATAGCTGGGCGCTGTGATGCACACCTGTAAGCCCAGCACTTGGGGTGCTGGGACAGGAGGAGCACTGTGAGAATCGAGGCCAGCCTGGCTACGTAGTGAGCTCAAGGCCAGCCTGAATTACACGATGTCGCCTGTCTTGAAAAAAATTTAAAAATAAAAATTATATATATGTATATATATATATGCATGCCTGATTAGATAGATAGATAGGTAGATAGATAGATAGATAGATAGATAGATAGATAGATGATAGATATAGAGAGATAGATAGATGATGATAGATAGATAGATAGATAGATAGATAGATAGATAGATGATAATAGATGTCAGGCATGATTGAGTATGCTTGTCATCCCAGCACTCGGAAAGGCTGAAGCAGAAGATTGTAAGTTCCAACCCAGCACTGGAAATTTAGTGACTTGGTGAAAACCAATCTCAGAAAAAAAAAAAGATATAAAAAGGGCTGGCAGGGCCAGGGAGATGGCTCAGTGGAATAAGTGCTTCCCTGGCAAGTGCAAGTGTCTGAGTTCAATCCTGGGTTTCAAAAAAAAAGGGCTGGTGATATTAGTCAATGCAAAGATCCTGGGTTCAATTCCCAGAACTGGGCGGGAGGCAGGAAATATATCATATATATGATCACTAGTTACATAGGTAGATAAATAAATAACTAAAATGAGGTCAGGCATGTTGGTGCACACCTATAATCCCAGCACCACAGAGTCAGGCAGGAGGATCACCGCAGTGTGATGCTCGCTTCAGCTGCATAGTGAAACCCTATCTCAAAAACACCAACGAAACAAAATAAAACACGAACAACAGCCCCAGCAGAAGCCTAGCAGACTGAAACAGAGACTCTCCTCACTGACCACAGCAGGAAATGACTACTTTCTCCTGTCCTATCTCACTCTTAGGTTAAGAAAGTGAAACCTTTTATAGAATTATAAAACAAAAGTAATAAAGCTGCTGGGCGTGGTAGCACACGTCTGTAATCCCAGCACTTAGGAGGCTGAGGCAGGAAGATTGTGGGGAGTTTGAGGCCATCCTGGGCTACATAAAGAGTTCAAGGTCGGCCTGCACTGCGTAGAAAGACCATGCCTCATTAATTAATTAATTAAACTATTGAGTTTGAATAAAATGACTTGCCCTTTTTCCTATAAGGTTGCTTTCTAAGAAAGAAAGCCTCTTCACGCAGAGCATATTGGCCAAGCATTGGCTGTGACTCATCCACATGGCTGACACTGACGAAGGATCTACAATCTGAGGTACAGAATCTCAGGATAAATCCTGAGGGGATTTCACTGACCTTATCAGACCCAAAAGCTACAACTCTTGTTGCATAGGTCTTTCCTTATCTTGGTCTTAACCATCCAGCAGAAAAGTATAAAAATGAACTATCAGAAGTAAAGCCATGCTGTTATGTTGAGCTGTAGGGGACTCAGGTCAACAATTTCTGACATTGCCAGTGAAGCGGAAGACCCAATACTATTATGGACTACTGGACTCTTTTAGAATATTTTGCTGAGTTAACACACCTATAATATTCAAATGACACCCACCAAAAAAAAAAAAGAAAAAACAAACATTTGGGGCCGGGGAGATGGCTCAGTGGAATAAGCACTTCCCTGGCAAGCGCAAGGACCTGAGTTCAATCCCCGGTTCCACCAAAAAGAAAAAAAAAAAAAAATTTTTCAATATTCAAATGACAGAACTAAACAAAAAAGGGGATACAGATGATTGTCCATTTTGTATCTGTGTATTCAAAATGGTTAGGATAGATATATAGTTACATTCTCTTAATGAATAGAGGGATTTGTTCTAATGGTGTTTGTAAATAGGATATCATGTCCGCATCTTGTACAGCAATTAACCACTAGAAAGAATGTATGCAATGTGTTAATTATTGAAACTGTCCTACCAATTTGGTTTGAAACTGTCTCATTGCTATTTTGTTTCTCAATAAAATTATGGAAAAAAGAAAAAGAAAGAAAGCCTCATGCTATCACAAGTTCTGTGAGTATCCCGCCAACGTTAGCAATGTGGAAAATGGCAATGAAGCGAACAATGGATGTAATTATAAAATTCCCACACCTTCGTTCTGTAGGTTCCTATAGGAAGGAGGACCAAGAAATACACTTCCTACCGGAGTAGCATTTTCTTCCAGCATTGTGGGAAAGAGGTATTTTCCAACACAGATGAAAGAACACACTGAGCCTGGCATAACTCGGTGGCAGAGCACATGCCTAGTCTTGGCTAGTACACATGGAACCCTGGCCTCTGGCCCCAGCAACACACACAAGAAAAGTAAACTCTACCTTATCCAGACATGCTGGAACACAGCTATAACCCTGGATAATCAGAAGGCTGAGGCAAGAGGATCGTATTCAAGCTTATCCTGGGCAATTTAGCTAGACTTTGTCTCTAAATAGAAAATAAGAAAAAGCTGAGGACACAGCTCAATGTAAAGGCCCAGGGTTCATTTTCTGGTATCTCAAAAGAAGAGAAGAAAGGAAAGGGAAGAGCAGGGAAATAAGGGGAGGGAAAGGAAGAAGTTGGAGTAAGATCAAAGACTATTATTGTAGATGCAAAGTCTTTCAGGCATCTAAGAAGACATCTTAGAAAAACTAAAGATACAGCATAGACCAATAATAGCTAGATAGAAAGGTGGATGAGTAGACTGGCTGGAATTATTGTGAGCGGAATCCCTTCATAGGAGCGTCCTACAAGGTGAACGATGTCAAATGTAATGCTTCAAAAAAAGATTTAGAGCATATTGGAAGTGACAATTCCTGATCAATCAAAGCAACAGATAAAGGTTCACCACTGGGGAAAAATATCTTCTTTTAGTTTGCCTTGACCTACCAGAGCTAACTCAAATAATTACTGCATTTTCACAAAAGTTGAAATCCTACACTTATATTATGTGGCCCATTATACTAAGAAATTGGACAAATAAATGAAGCAAAGCAAATCAGTTAGAACAGAAATACTATTTTTCACTCTGAAGAGGTGAAATGACCACATGGACATTTTGAAGTAACTGAGGGAGGAGTTTTAAGAAGGCTTTCAAAAGCAGCACTATATAAGGCTCTTTCGGATTATTTTCTTAGTACATTCTGAGGGTTCAACTCACAAATATAAAAGGAATTTTTTAATAACTATATATAAATAATGGGTATATTCTGGCTCAACTAATTTCTCTTTCTGCTTTTGTGAATGTGTGTCTGATACAAAAGAAGAGAAAGAATTTTTTAGCCTGCTGTAAATAGTCACTTAGCCTAAAAATGTGGTGAAAATTTGATATTTGGAGAGTACTTAAAGATGCACTCATTTTCTTAAGTCTTTGTAAAAAGACAAAGTAGTATTCCCAGATACTCTTTTGATGCTTTATTATAGGATGAGTGCAGGTGCCCACCCTACCACATCCCTACATGCATGCATTGAAACCCTAAGGTGAGGGTGTTAGCAGGTAGAGCCTTTGGAAGGTGACAGTGACAAGGGTGAGGCCCTCAGAAGGGCTCAGGGCTCTTAAGGAGCACACCCCAAGGAGCTGCTTTGTCCCTCCTAGCCGGTGAGGACACGGCCAGAAGAACTACTGTGGGCCAGAATGTAGGTCCTCGCTGGACTCTGAATCTGCTGGCACCTCATCCCAGCCTCCAGAACCATGAGAGACAAACTGTTCTTCACAAGCTCCTGAACTTACGGCATTTTGTGATGTAGCCCAGATGGACAAAGACATGCTGGACTCTAGAATAATGAAATTTTAATTCTCTTGCATCATCTCATCAAGTGAAATAAGCCCCTCCAGAGCAAGTTTTCCCATTATTTTAGCTCTTCTTTGGTTTTCTACAACATATATAAGCCTGCTCTTTACTTTGTATTGTTTGAATATGCTCAGGATTGAGTTGTCCCCTTGTTTGTCACTGCTGTGGTGTTCATCATTCTTTGTGTTGCTTTGGTCAATCAAATATTATAACCTCTTGGGCTAGAAAGGTAGCCTCACCATCTACTCACCTACCTGGCAAATGCAAGGTCCCTAGTTTGATCCCCAGTACCACATGCTACACCTGCCCCAGAACCCCAGGCACGTCATGTGGGCCCCTGAAACCAAGTATGGTGGTGCATGCCTGTAATCCCAGCACTGGGGAGGCTGAGATAGGAGGATCACTAGGAGTCTGAGCTATGTAGCAAGACCCTTTACCAAAAAATAAATTTTTTTCCATAATTTTATTGAGAAACAAAATAGCAATGAGACAGTTTCAAACAAAATTGGTAGGACAGTTTCAATAATTAACACATTGCATACATTCTTCCTAGTGGTTAATTGCTGTACAAGATGCGGACATGATATACTATTTACAAACACCATTAGAACAAATCCTTCTATTCATTAAGAGAATGTAACTATATATCTATCCTAACCATTTTGAATACACAGATACAAAATGGACATGCATCTGTATCCCTTTTTTTTTTTGGTTAAGTTCTGTTATTTGAATATTATAGGTGTGTTAACTCAGCAAAATATTCTAAAAGAGTCCAGTAGCCCATAATAGTACTGGGTCTTCCGCTTGACTGGCAATGTCAGAAATTGTTGACCTGAGTCCCCTACAGCTCAACATAACAGCATGGCTTTAC